GTTAATATATATTATTTTATTTCAATTAATAAAAATGTTTTTTTAATGTTTTTATAGTTAACTGTAATAACCCTACCATCTGTTTAAGTTTGTGCTTCAGTACTTACACAAAACGTGTTCTTTCTTGTAAGTTTCTTCAGAAAGAATGAATCTCTCAACATTATTGGACGCATTTATCTGTGTGCGGCAAATAGTAAAAATAAAGTATTACTATTACTATAAAGTAAACAATTTTCCTGTTTAACTGCTTTGACACAACCAGTATTGTATAAAGTGCTATACAAATAAAGGTGACTTGACTTGATTTAACACATAGTATATACAGTAATTAAAGGGGTCATATGATGCGATTTCAAGTTGTCCTTTCTCTTTGGAGTGTTACAAGCTGATTGTGCATAGATAAGATCCCTGAAGTTGCAAAGAATAAAGTCTCAAAACCAAAGAGATATTCTTTATCAAAGTTAAGACTCTGCCACGCCTACCTAAAACGGCTCGTTCTAACACGCCCCCACATATCTACCTCACTATGTGGAAATATTTGCATAATGCCGCCCAAATGTGCACGCAAAGAAAGAAGGCGTGGTTTCAGTAACAGCAGTTAGTGTTGAAGCAGCATGTCAGGGAGACGCTCTGTGTTTCCAGGTGAAAGCAAAAGCACTTTATTTGGCCTTCCGAAAGTAGATGCAATGTGTTTTTTGAACATTAAAGCATGTCAACATATTCTGTTACACCAAATACACAAAATAATGATCTTTAAAAAAGCATCATATGACCCCTTTAAAGTAAATTCTGAAGCCTGTTGTGAGTAAACCTTCCCAGGTAGTATGAGCTTTAGCAAGTGCAATACTAACTTTGTAATCTTACATGGACATATAAACCTTCATTAGAAGTGAATCATGAATGCAAATTAACCTCTAATCAGAAGATATCTAATTCAGATTCTAGAAATAATTCCGCAAACAATCACACCTGAGAATCAGTGATCTCGTTTAACAGATATGTAGCCTATCATTCTTATATTTAATGACTTTTTACAAACTTTTTAGAGGTGGCATAAATGCAGTCCTTGGAAACTGGCACCACAATAACGGTTGTTGTTGTTTGAAACAGTACATGTCATTCCTTTACTTATTTATCTATTTGATAAAATACCACTGATTACAACAAAACTCAAACTTTGTATCTTTGACTACAGGTTGTTATATGAACAGCCATTCATTAAATAATAATTAATACAAAGTGATTAGTAAGTGTTTTGATTAAAGAATAGGCTCATAAGGGTCATTCTTACGAGAAGCAGACTACACTAGTCAATGCTGCAGGACTATAGTTCCCTTTTGAACGTTCACTCAACATTGAGAAGCATTCACTGTGGGAACTCCTCCCCTTCTCCAAAAATCAATATCAAAATAAACTGGCCAATTGTTGTTAATTATGCAAACTGCATGCAAATACTGACAAGCCTGCAGGCAGTATATAATGCAGTGAAAGCAACAATTGCCTCAGAATCTTCTCCTGCACGCTGCTATTGTCAAAGACGCACCAGAAGATACAGGTACTTCACTGCATCCAATGGCCACCTTCTGTCAACTTTGCACGGGCCCCATCAGCCCGCTGGACCCACACGAGCACTGCATCACCTGACTGTGCCTAGCCCACGCTAAGGCTGTGTTCTCTGAGTCTGACTGCGTACACTGCGCTCACTTGCAGGCACCCGTTTTGAGGACTCGGAGGAACATCACTCGTGGCCTTGCAGGGACAAGGCCCACTGCCGCCAGCGAGCCGCTGGTGGGCCATCCCCTCACTCTGAGCCATCGTCCCCAGTCCTTTTCGCTGACCAGAGCCGTGCGCATGCTCCCTGTCGAGGGGCCTTCCTTCCTTGAAGCCTTGTAGATTTACCGCCCACATCGCTGACAAGGCTTACATTTCCTTTGGCAAAGTGGTGTCCACGCTGCATGCAATGGCAGTGCTGCAGGTTTTCCAAGCTAGGCTCCTGCAGTCCCTGGACAGTGGCGACATGGACTTGGACGCCGTGAAAGATTTGCGCGCGATGACAGACTTTGCGCTGATGGTGACAAAGCGCTTCGCTCAATCGGTCGATCCATGGGGTTCATGGTAGTCCTTCACAGGCACCTATGGCTGACCCTAGCTGACCTGAAGGACTCCGACCATAAGGCACTCCTCAACGCACCGATCACTTTCTCTGGCCTCTTTGGTGATGCCGTGGAGTCTGTTATCGAGCGAAGGTGATGAGTCACCTGATGCCCTGATGCAAGTTCCGTGCGCCGTCGAGAACACGCTCCTCTTCTGCACCCCGCTCCACTTAGAGAATGGCTAAGCAGCGCACCACGTCCTCCACGGCTACATGAGTCGGATGTTCTGCGCAAGCAGTGGACAGGACGGAAAACATCGCTTCGGGAGGGCAGAGGTGGATCTGTTCGCAACAAGCGAGAACACGTACTGCCCGCTGTTCTTTTCACTGTCTCACTCCCTGCTGATGGGGGATGCTCTGTCGTCGCGCTTGCGGAGAGCCAGATTTCATGCGTTCCCTCCAGTGAAGATTTTGCCTCTGGTGTTATGCAAAATCAGGGAAGAGAGATCGGTGATCCTCATTGCCCTGAACTGTCCGAATCAACCTTGGTTTCCGGACCTCAGGGAGATGCTGGTGGCACCCCCATGGCAAATCCCCCACAGGAGGGACCTGCTGTCTCAAGCGAATGGCACGATATGGCATCCCAGCCCAGAGCTGTGGAGCCTTCATGTGTGGTTACTTCAGGGGTCTTAGAGGGGCTAAGCGCCCTGCTTCCCCGTGTGCTTGACATGCTCACTGAGTCTTGTGCACCCCACCTTCTACTACAGGCATCGGCAAGCTCTTACATGGGAAGTGTTCGTGAAATCGTGCTGTGATAGAGATATCGACCCGGCGAGCTGTCCCGTGTCGGACGTTTTACGTTTTCTGCAGCACAGGCTAGATAACGAGAGTCTACCGTCAATGCTGAAGGTTTATGTGGCCGCTATTGCTTCGTTTCGTTCCCTGGTTGATGGGCAATTGACTGGGAGGCACGCGCTGGTGGTCAGATTTCTCAGTGGGGTGAGGAGATTAAAGAGATTGGTTCTGAAAGCTCTCTCTCTACCCCCGTTCGAGCCCTTGGCATCCATTGCTATGAGGGAGCTCTCCCTCAAAACTGCTCTGCTTCTTGCCCTTGCTTCGGGTAAGCGCATAGGAGATTTGCATGCATTCTTGGTGGACGGCGATTGTATTCACTTTGGGCCTGGGGACTGTTACTCTTTGGCCGAGACCGGGCTACGTGCCTTAGTCTCTTTCTACCCCTTTGAAGCGCAGGCCATATCTTTGCCCGCTTTGTCTTCCGAGTCACCAACCTCGCGTGATGCCGAGGCTCAGAAAGCCGTTTGCCCTGTCAGGGCTTTAAGGATTTATATCGACCGCTTGGCCATCTTTCGACAGTCTGACCAGCTCTTTGTGTGCTACAGTGGCTGTACTAAGTGACGAGCAGTATCTAAGCAGAGGCTTTCTCACTGGATAGTGGATGCTGTCGTGTCAGCTTATGCAAACCAGGAACAGGAATGCCTTTTCAACATCAGAGCTCATACGATGAGGGCTATTGCCTCTTCATGGGCCTGGTCTAAAGGCACATCTATTCAGGATATATGCTTTGCAGCCGGCTGGTCCTCACAGAATACTTTTGCCAGGTTTTACAAGTTGGATGTGCCGTCCTTGCCGTCTCAAGTGCTTTCGGTGAAAGACTAACCTCACTTATTCTTCTAGTTTATTACTAGGCTTTAATCTAGGGCACAGTTTGTTACTGTTTATAGCTGTTGACACTGTGCAGGCCTATGTACATTTTTATATGTGTTTTTGTTATGCTGCACCGCTACCATGCTTACTGTTGTTGTGTCATTCTGGCCAGGTATGCTAATTTGGTATACCTAAGTTAAGATGTTCATTGGTCTAGCCCTGCCTATCAGCTGCTGGCTTTCCTAGTGGTGTCGCTATTGGTTGGGAATTGTGTGTTGTTCTACCCCATGCTTGGTGTGGTTTTAGCCCTTGGTTCGGGCTGATCATCGCCGGTCTCATGGCGGGATTGTATAGGCCTACTGTTCCCACAGCGATTGCTTCACAATGTTGAGTGAACACTTGAAAGATTGCCGTGATGGCTGCTGGTACAGCAGGACTAGTGCAAGAGTTCAGTCTTAAGATTTTGAGGAAATTGTCACTCTCACCTCATTATATAGGCTACAGCTTGCAGGCTTGTCAGTAGGCTATTTGCATGAGATTTGCATAATTAGCGACAATTGGCCAGTTTATTTTACTGGCAATAAGGTTTCAGGATTTTCGGAGAATGGGAGGAGTTCCCAGTTCCCAGTTCCCACAGCGAATGCTTCGCAATGTCTCGTTCCCGCTCTCGGGGAACCGAGGTTACGACAGTAACCGGAGACGTTTTGATTCGCTAAAAAGAACCGGCTCAAAAGAGTCATTCATTCGCAGCGCTGATGAACAGTCGTGCAGGAAACACTGTCCGAGTATTTTAGTACGGTGTTCCGTCCGCTTCAACAGAACCGTTAAATTATTCAGTTTCAGTATTTTTAAATAATGGATATATTTCTAAATTCTCAGCCCATTCATCAGTAAACTTAATATCCTACGTCTTCATTGTCAGTCAGTACAATATCCACAGTGTTATTTATTTACCAAGGAAGAGCCGAATGAACCATTACTCGGTTCGTTCGGCCAAATTGAAGACCATACAAAGACGCAGACGCTAAATGAAATCGTCATTCACATTCTAAATGAAGACGTTCCATTTTAAATGAAATTTCGTACTTAGAATGTCACGGCGCGAGACTGAAAAAAAAACAAGAACCGCGAGACTAAACATGCTGGAGCGAAACCTGTGCAACCTGGACATAAATGTGCAACAGTGTAACAATGTTTTTGGAAGCTTCCTGTTTGAGAGTGACATTGATGTTACTGAACTTACTGTCTGTGATCTTCTGCAGCCCGAGTACATTCTCCGGCGTTATTTCTGTGCTTTTTTGCAAATCCTCTTCAGTCGTACACGGGACACCCGCGTCGCAGCCTTGCTTCACTTTCATCTCTAAATGCAAAAGATGCTGCTTTTCGTGCACGAGTTGTAGTCTTCGCACCCAACCTCTCTGCCAAGGGCCGTTTGTTTGCCTCACCTCTGCTGTGTTATGCGTCCTCGTTATTTAACGCAGGCTCTTTACTGATACAAGAATAGCGCAGTCACCTCCCCCAGCCAGTCAGTCTTCTAAAGATATTGAGTTATTTTACTCCTTTCCTAGGGCGAGTGGCTCTCGCTCTATAATCTGCATGTCTGTCTGCTGCTGAAGGTATTAAAGCAACCACTTCATGTAATCGAGCAAAACCCGAGAGAGATGAACGGTATTAACTTGCGGAAGGAAGTGGGCAGACCGTTCGAATAAGTCGCTTCTGTTGTAAAGTAATGTCTACTGTCTCATTATGATCAGACATTTTTTGTGCTGTCTGTGGACACAAGGCTCAAAACCTATACCCATCTGAAAGACGGTAAAAGGCACACATACTGTAAATGCAGTAGATGTAAACAGAGCATTTACAGTACGTGTGCCTTTTACCGTTATCATTTTATGATAAACAGTGCCAGGTATCAGTGGTTTTGTGTGACTGATTAGTTGTGGAAAAGAAAAAAAAACATTTGAAAAGAACTACAAAAATCTATATATATATTTTTTACATTTTGATTATTCGATCCACAGAAAATATTAATTCAGGATGTTTATCTTTAAATGGACTTCCTATTGAAATTGCCCCTTTATCATATCCAGTAGTTTTACAATTATGTTACATTACCATGCAAAAGTTTGGGGTCGTATGATTTTTTAAATGTTTTTCTCTTATGCTTAGTGAGGTTGCATTTATTTGAAAGAAAGAAAGAAAGAAAGGAAATAAGTAAGTAAATAAATAAATAAACAAATAAAGCAGTAACAACAGTAATAATGTGAAATATTATTAGAATTGAAAAAGACTGCTTTCTATTTTAATATATTTTAAAATAACAAGATGAATTTTCAGATGAAAGATGAATAGCCATTATTATTATTACAGTTCAAAATTATATTAATTAAAAATTTTTTTTTATTTATTTGTCATTATTTTCTTTATTGTCAGATTATCCTTCAGAAATCATTCTAATATGCTGATTTGTTTAAGAAAGATTTGTTATTATTAACAGTGTTGAAAACAGTTGTGCTGCTTAATATTTTTGTGAAAATTGTGATACATTTTATCATGGTCCTTTGATTACTATCACTTTTGATCAGTTTTAACACATCCTTCCTAAATAAAACTATTAATTTATTTTTTTTAAAGTATCCACAATGTCTGAATGGTAGTGTACATTATTTTTTTGTGTAATAATAATAATAATAATAATATATTTTAATTTTTTCTCTCATCTTATGATTATCATTATTAATATCATGCATATGATTTGTTAGATGAGTACTTACGACCCACACTCCACTCTGATGGAGCCCACATGGTTTAGCCCCTTGTGACAGATGTTGCGACACTCTCCACTCAGCTCCATCATGCACCCTTGGAAATTCTCATACTCAAACAGATATACGGTATCTGATCACAGAGATTACACAGTAAAGACAAATAATTCAGTAAGTGTTTCACATTACACATGTAATGGCAATAATAGATGAAAAAGTGAGAATCTAGTAAGAACATGTTGGGGCAGGTTTGACATACTCTGTGGGAGCTCATTCCTGTGGCATAGTGACTACCCATACGTCCTTGTACAGCAGTGTGACATGGCTGAAGCTGTTAATAACAGAAGAGAGAGAAGTCCAGCTTAAATAAATGGTTGATTCAAGATTAATACTTTGTTGCAGTCAGCAACTCCTTGCTACACATTGACTGAACGCATTTGTAGAGAAACCATTATCAACTTTTAAAAAATCAGTCATGAGGTTTTTTACATTGTTCTTTATTTAAAGCAATAAGCTTGGCAGAATCTTATTTGCAATCAAATCAGTCAAAATCATCTAAATCTATATCTTTACATTCCCCAAATGTTTATTTAAAGGGCAGCCACTATGAAATGAATAAAATTAGTTTCCTATTGCATTTGATTCTTGTAACATTGAAATTGAACATTGTGAAATATTATTAAAATTTAAAATAACCGTCTTCTACCTCAATATATTTTAAGATGTAATTTATTCCTGTGATGGCGAAGCTGAATTTTTGCAGCCATTACTCCAGTCTTTAGTGTCACATGATCCTTCGGAAATCATTCTAATATCCAATAATCTTCTGTACTTAAATCAGTCAAAAACATCTAAATCTGTATCTATACCTTTACATTCCCCAATCACACCAGGCATATTTAAAGGACAGCCACACTGAAATGACTAAAATGGGTTTTGTTTGAATTTGATTAAAGAAAAAAATAAATAATGTAAAAACAGTAATATTGTGAAATATTATTACAATTAAAAAGCGGTTTCCTATTTTAATATATTTTCAAATATAATTTATTCCTGATGGCAAAGCAGTCATTACTGCCGTCTTCAGTGTTACATGATCCTTCATAAATTATTCTAATATCTAGTAATCTTTGTGCTCAAATCAGTCAAATCAATCAAAAACATTCAAATCTCTATACATTCTTCAATCACAACAAGCTTATATAAAGGGCAGCCACTCTGAAAGGACCATCTCCACAATCTCACCAAAACTTTGCAGTCAGACAGAGCAATGGAATGTAATAGGAGTGCTGGCGGAGGAAAGGATGCCAAGGCCTGAATGTACAAGGGCTTCAGGCTTCGGATGGGTTCTATATACATACATACATACATACATACATATATATATATATATATATATATATATATATATGAAGAGTTTGGTTCCAAAACGCGATAAACGCCATTTAAAAAAAATTTGAGTTTCCGCCAAAATCAGTATTGTATCTGGTCGGTATTGAAAAGTCCATTTGGAGGGGTTTGGATTGCAGGCTTATCTCTGTGACCCTGCTGACTCTGCTCATTGCTTTGTTCCAGGATCGGCTGGATGTCTGATGTCTACCTCAATCAGCAGAAAGCGTGGCACTCCACGGTCCCTATCTCTTCAACTCTCTCTCTCTCTCACACATGCACTCATGCATTCTCTACAGCACAGCTAGCAATGTGCTGACCTCAGCAGACTGGCCACAGACCTCTCCATTGAGAGAACGAGGACTTGTTGCCGTTGTGTGAAGCTTCAGCAGATTTATTTGGTGGTTACAGTTACATTTTAAGTTTTCAAGGATTTGGAGCTTACGTTAAGAGTGAAAGACAGATGCACAACATTTGTATTCTACATCGCCAGACTATGAAATATTAAACAAACATAAATAGTGATGCATTTAATTATTCACACAATCATTCGCATTTGACCATCAACAAATCAAAAAGTATGTCTCATTGAAGAACCACATTGACACTTACCTAAATACCTGAAAAATTATTAATCTTCTTCATATTTACTTGAATGCCATCATTCACACGCTTCATTTTACTTAGTCATGCACCTCCTAGTGAAACACTGGGCCCCATCCATGCAGCCTGCTTTGCATAAAGTCAAAGGAGTGGGCAGGACATGGATGTTGAATGGATGTGCTTGTAAGGGCCTATTGCGTATGTATGCATATGTGTGCGAGTATGTAAAGGCAGGTGGAAGTGAGTCACTGAAACACTCTGTGGCTGTAACTGTGGGGAGAGGAGAGCAGACAGTCTCAGTGCAGGATAAAAATAGACTTTTAATAATAGTTATCACTTAACAACCACCATTCTTTGAATATTTAAGGATATCTTTAAGCTTTTTTGTGTGGTTGCAATGCTTTAACCAACCATTTTTTTGTTGGGAAGAAACCTGGAAGTGTATCTTTGTGTTGTCTTTGCTGGAATGATCTCAAGTCGAAACAGCTTGCTTGTGTTTATGCAAGCATGCGTGTTTTGCCATACACTCAGGTCATATGTAAAAGCATGCATGGAATCACTTTGCCTGGCATCCACTCCTGTAGCAGATGCCAGTAGGCATGATGCCTCCCTGGCTACGGCAGATGGCATTGTGAGCTAGGTAAAGCCAAAGGCTCAGTCCAAAACAATGAGGCCTCGGGCAAAGTGCTGACTCCAGCCTGCCCTGTTGCCAATCTTCCCTTTCTGTCATGCTACATATAAATAGAGCCCTTAGTTGGTGGTCTGGAGACCGTTGTGTGGAACTCCTGAGCGCTTGCAGCTATTTGTTGGGTAGGTCAGGTAAGCCCTTCATGGTAGTCCTTTCAGCCACTGTGGTCATCTTTTAGCATGATGCAAACTCTAGGGGAGGGGTGCACTATCATGTAGACACAATTAAAAACTCGAAACAAAAATAGCAAGCATATTATGTGGGTGTTTTTGACAAAAAATATAAATGAATATGAATATATATGAATTTTGATTTAAAAAAATCAAATGTAAAACAAAAGACTAAATTAGTATTAAATTAAGATAAATTTAAAAATTCAATTATTAAATTAAATTAGATTAGATTAAAATGATTTTTATTGACATTTCAGAAAAATTGAAATGATTTTAATTGGCATTTCAGAAAAATTTTAACGATTTTAATTGGCATTTCAGAAAATTAAATATAAAACAAAAGGCTACATTAAATTTAAATAAATATTTTATATTAAAATGTATTTAAAATAAAAAAGATTAGGCATTCTATGCTTTGCATAACATAAAAAATTCTTGATATTAGTATTAGTATTTTTTTTTTTACTAGTGCTTCTGGCTAAATCTGATGTAATCTGTGCAATTTGTAGGTTTGTATATACTTTTTGATTAAATCCTCATGTTTTGCCCATAAACCTGTCTCTTCTATTTCAGTAAGCTGTGGTTTTATTCTGTTGTGTTTGAATTTTATTGTCTAAATCAGCAGATAGAATAAGTGTGATTTATTTTGTTAGGTCTAACTTGTTGGAGCAACAAAGGCATTTGGCTGCCATATCTTTCTTGTTCATTATCCTCAGGCTATTTGTACACTTGTCATAAATTATATAGAACCCACACCTTTTTTTTTTTTTGCATATCTCTGTTCTTCAGGTCTATCAGCATTGAGATATCTTCAAGGATGGCTCTGACTAATCCCATGCCACTGGGGCCATGGAAGGCAAGTAAACACTTGATGGCTATGAAATAATGCAAAATGACATATAATGCTTTGAATCTCATCTCTGTTGTGTCTGTGAATATGTGTATAGCTCACAGTCTATGACCAAGAGAACTTCCAAGGCAAGCGTGTGGAGTTCACTTCAGCCTGTCAGAACATCATGGAATGCGGCATGGACACTGTCCGTTCTCTGAAGGTGGAGTGTGGCGCGTAAGTCATGCATTCACAGACACACACATCTAAAAGAGCCCATACCAGAGGATGAATGAATAGAAAAGAACATCATTTATTTGAAATATAAATGTTTTGTAGCATTATAAAAGTTTTAATGTCACTTTTTATCAATTTAATGGATCCTTGCTGAATAAAAGTATTCATTTCTTTAAAAGAATCTTACTGATCCCAAACTTTTGAATTTGAATGGTAGTGTATATATTTTATAAATATTTATAAAAAAATTACAGGTGCTACTTATATTATTCAACTTATATACAGATAATTTTTCAAATTAATGTTATCTAAAAGGGAGATTTAGCTCTGAGCTTTGTCAGATTTAGCTCAATTCTTGGGACACATTTGCCCCCAAACAAAGTAAACCACCTTTTGCAGTTATCTCTAATTTTCTGTGTCCATTTGAACAGCTGGGTGGGCTACGAACACTCCAGCTTCTGTGGGCAGCAGTTCATCTTGGAAAGACTCCCTCGCTGGGAGTCTTGGAGCGGCAGCAATGCCTATCACATTGAGAGGCTAATGTCCTTCCGGCCAATCTGCTCTGCTGTGAGTCTGAAACTGTGTCAACGGATCAGTGGTGAAATGATTTACCAGTCTTTCTAAATAACAATCTCTCCCAATGTTATGATCTGCGCAGAACCACAAGGAGTCAAAGATTACCGTCTTTGAGCGGGAGAACTTTATTGGACACCAGTGGGAGATAACCGATGACTACCCCTCTCTCCAGGGCATGGGCTGGCCCTCCAACGAGATCGGATCAATGCAGGTGCAAAGTGGGGCGTGAGTACCATACTTGTCTCTACTCTCTACGCCAGGGGTGTCCAAACTGCAGAGTTTAGCTCCAACCCTAATTAAACACAAATGAACCAGCTAAACAAGTACTGCATCTGAAATCAAATACTTCTCTACTATATAGTATGCAAAAAAACAGCATGCCAAAAGAGAAGTATGTCCAAATTCACAGTACTTGAAAAACAGTAGACGAAAAGTACCCGAATGACCTACTACTTCTGATGAGATTCTGAAGTGTGCATTTAATGGACACTTTACTATCCAATGATGTCACGGAGGTAACATGACCATGTCAACATGACGTAGTATTTCTGAATTTCATTCATACTACTCATATTCATACTCAGTGCTGGGAAGATTATTTACAAATTCTAGTCTGTTACCGATTACAAATTACATGACGAAATTTGTAAAATTGAGTAAAATAGTAAAATAATTAGATTACTAATGTATTCTGACTACTTTTGATTACTTTAAGATTACTTGTGACTTAATTTGTTTATATAAATTAGAGAGATAGATTTGAATGGGATTATTGTGTACCATATTGACATAAAAAAGGAAAAAAAAAATCAAATTTTTTGTCATCAACAACTGCATTAAACATTACATTATGCCAGGGTTTCCCAAACTGGGTTTAATTAAAAACTGCAGGGGGTTTGTGAGTTGCTGAAGTTAGTAATGAATTAAATCATAAAAATGTAAAATTAAGCTGAATAAATTATTTATAAATAAAAAAAGAAATAAATGATTGAATAATAAAAATAGAAATGTAATTGAATTTGTTTACCTGCATGTTAATGTGACCATTAATCAACATCAGAAAACCCCGAACATGCAAATGTGTTGATAAAGTATTGAAACTTAAAATCAAGTCAATATTTTAGGTCAAAGGGATTCCCTGCATTACAAGAACAAACATTAATAAACATGAAAACAGCAATGACATTAAATGCCCAATAACATTACTACACAGCACTGTTCATAATAGATCACATTTTTTTAGAGGCCACAAAGTAAGTTCAAATTCAAATGTAGTACCTACTCAGACATGCGATTTCAGATGCACCGAAGATCTTCAAACTCACTAGAAACTTCCAGACAAGCAGGTTGGAGCTAAAATCTTCACGTTGTTGGCCCTCCAGGAGCAGGGTTGGACACCCTGCTATACACCATTAGCTTCAGGTGATGTAATATTTGGGATACTTGGAATATTAAATAAGGGATCTCAGTTTGCATTTGTCATGTGTTTTCTCACTGCATGTAGCTGGGTTTGTTACCAGTACCCCGGTTACCGTGGTTACCAGTACATCATGGAGTGTGACCACCATGGTGGCGAGTACAAACACTACAGGGAGTGGGGCTCCCACGCTCAGACCTTCCAGGTGCAGTCCCTCCGCCGGGTTCAGCAGTGAGGGCAGCTCGCCCAGCTCGCCCAGCTCCCTTACTCCCTCCCCCACCTCCTCATCCTCTTCCTCTTCCTCCACCGCTTCCTCAGCCCCACCCCTTCATTCCGATACCGGCAAGCCCAGCACAGGCTGAATGTCTGGTGCATTCGGCAAATGTTTACGGTGCTTTCATCTTTCTGCATGCCATCGATTTGAAAGAAAAAAGTGAGAGGAAGAATTCAAGCAGACTGATTCTGTCAGCGGCACAGTGCTCCTCATCGCTGTCATGATGCAGTCTGTGCAAAAGAGATCAATAAAGGGTACACTTATGAAAACTACCTATTGTGAGAGTTTGTTTGATGCATGTAGTGTAGTTTCAAGCTTTGTAAAATGGCCCAAATTGTAATGTCACAAAATTGGACCATTATAAACACCAAAATATCATATAAATGTTGTTATAAAGACTTAATGGCCAATGGTTTTTGAGTACTGGGACAAAATAGGGTAGGGACAAAATAAGTTGGAAATAAATCAATACAAGTTTATGTATCAAGGAATTATTGATTTCACATATGCTTGGGTGAAATATCGACTTCCCTTACCTGTTATTCATCATGATTACATGGAAAAGGTGCAAAATATTATAATGACAAATCTAGCATTAACTTCAAGAAATTAATATATTTATTAATGGTTTTTAGATCCATCTACTGAATCATCACAATCAGAATAATCAAATATTTTTTGATAAAACAATTATATTATGTATAACATGTATTAAAAGCTGCAGCCACTTTGTTTTTCTGGTGTTGATACAAACAAGTTTACAAAATCTAAAAATGGCCAAAATTATATAATGTTTTTTCATAAAATATGGAAATAATATATTTACCTCTATATTAAAAGTATAATTTTCAATCTAAAATATTGTTTTTTATCTTTTGAGTTTTATTTTATTTTTTATTTTTTGTTTGTTAAGACATTGCAATTTTCATATACCAATTTATATATATTTATTTATATAATTTACATTTATATTTTAATAGTTTGAGTTATATTTTTTTCAATTGTATATATTTAAGTATACATATTTCTATACACTATAATAATAATATAATATAATGTCATAGTTTTGGTAAAAAAAATAAAATGTTTGATTTTTGTTAAGAACTTTATAACCTATTGGTCATCTCTAAATTATTTTACAGTGGAAATTGTGCTTTTTAATAAAACAAATGGTATGTAATGTTGTGGGATATTTTTTGTGATATCAAAACTGGTTTATTATTTGTCTTTTCTTTTGATCTTGGGTGCTCTCTCGTTAGGAAATGAGATTCACCCCTGACGTAGAGAAATCGCGCCACCCAGCGTTTGTCAGAAGTTAAAGCCCGGAAGCTGTAGCTGGCAGTTACGAAAACATAAACACGACAAAGTAGCGGAGCAAAGCGCATGATAAGTCTGCGATCCGCCGTAAAATAAGAAGAAGGAGAGGAAGCAAAGCACATGTGCTCTCCTCAACTTTGAAAATTTGCAACATCGCTTAATTGACGCGCTCAAAGGAACTAATGTCTGTGTTGTTGTCAGTGCTGGTCGGTGTGCTTGCTGCATACGTACTTATTTATTACAGCCTGTTTAAAGGAGCCAGATTTAAGAGCAACGTGACGTTAAAGGGGAAGACAGCAATTGTTACAGGTTAGTATCATTTAAACGCTTTACATATTAAACAATCCAATCCAACTTAATACCACTTAAGTAAATAAAAACTGAACTTCTTACTAAGACTCATTTAATAGTGGTTATACTAAGTTGTATACAGTTGAATTTGAGTACCACTGTCCTCAGTACATTTATTTGATTTGTTATAATTTTTATTTTATATTAATTATGTCTATTGTAGTTAGTTTGGACACTTATCATAGGACACTTTTCACTGGCTCAGGGTTGAGTAATCAATAATCTGTATGCAGGGAGTAATACTGGCATTGGCAAAACAACAGCCTTGGAGCTGGCCAAGAGAGGGGCCCGAGTGATCCTCGCCTGCCGAAACAAACAGAAAGCTGAAGCTGCAGTTTATGACATACGAAAGGTGAACTCCTCTACTAACCTCAATTCCTCCTGGTTCTTATCATTTTTCTGACTGGCGTCTCAAAGACAGACATTTTGCTGTATATCCCTCAGGAAAGTGGGAACCCTGAGGTGCTGTACATGCATCTGGACCTGGCCAGTTTGACGTCCGTGCGTGGTTTTGCAGAGACTTTTCTGAAGAGTGAACCGAGACTCGACTTGCTCATTAACAATGCAGGTAAACTGAAAGGGATGAGACCGTATGCAAACTCTTGAAATGTTGTTTCAGGATAGTTTGGTTCTCTTGTTTCTTTTGGTCTGGACCAAAAAAGAAATGATAAATTTTAGTCCTGGTTCACTTGGCATTCACGCAGTCATTTTTAAAATAGAACTTTAATGTACAAAACAAAAGGCATACAAAAGGATACAATCACAACCTGACAGCTTTTATGACATATTTTGTTAACTAACTGAACATCCAAAACTGCTGTGTGCTGGGCTAATTGCACTCAATGTATATGTGTACATATGGTGCTATTTTTTTTTTTACCAGCTTATAACTCACAAAGAGCTTATAAAATGTGTAAAGGTGTCAATTCAAAACAGCACCAGGAATTACTCTGTTGCACACATGGAGATCTGCTGTAAGGAGACGGTCCATTTACATCAGGAGTTCTCAACTCTGGCCCTCGAGGTCCACTTTCCTGCAGAGTTTAGCTCTAACCCTGATCAAACACAGCTGAACAAGCTAATCAAGGTCTTCAGGATTACTAGAAACAAAGCCACTCGAAGGCAAGCCTGTGGAGGACGAAACCTGCAGAAATTAAAAATAAATAAATATATCGGTAAATACATAAATAAATGTATTAATAGGAAAATAAGTAAAGAAATAAATGACTTGATAAAACAAATATGTGACCCTGGACCACAAAACCTTAAGTCTTAAGTTGCTTGGGTATATTTTTAACCATAACCAAAAAAAATTGTATGCCAAAAATCATAAGGATATTAAGTAAAGATCATGTTCCATGAAGATATTTTGTAAATTTCCTACCGTAAATATATCAAAACTTAATTTTTGATTATTATAATATGCATTGCTAAGAACTTCATTTGGACAAATTTAAAGGCGATTTTCTCAGTATTTAGATTTTTTTGCACCCTCAGATTCCAGATATTCAAATAGTTGTAT